GTTTTCACATCTTAGATTTAGTATCGATTCTTCATAAAAAACACTCACAAGTGGTGGACCTCTTTTCTTTTCAGTTCCTCGGAGACCATTTCTAAAGCTTCTCTCAACTCACAAGCCAATGAATTTTGTCTTATTGGTAGTCTTCTCATATTTGACAGTTTACTTGCAGGATTTATGTGCAATTTGTACAGATTTCATCATAGCTGAATTGTGGTCTTCAAACTTCTTAACTTTTCAGGTCTAATATTTTCTTTGGTGATGATAACTCATACTTCCTTTGATATTATCCTTGCGCTGTGGAAATAAATTAACCTTAATGTAGGTCTTTGCTGAGAGCCAAGATTATGGGACTCATGGGGAACGTGTTCGAAATGCTTGTTGGGGCTACCTGTGTCAAAGTGGTTCAAAGGAACTAAAGGAGGTACATGCATTAATCTTTGAACATTATAGTCCTACCCACTCTACAAAATAGTCCCCCTTATCCTCTGACTGATGATTAGGACATAATATTTTGTCTATTCTTTGGGAATCAATGTTGCATCTAAACTCCTGTCCGTATCAGGTGCTCCCAAAACTTTCCTCGCAAACACTACTTGCTTTACTAACGTCAGATGAACTATGGGTGCCAAGTGAAGAGAAACGGTGAGGGTGGACTGTTTTATGTTTTTATATTTCTAGGTGTATAACTTATTTGTAAGACTGGAATCACCTAATTCGTCTTTCTTTCTTTCCTTTTTTTTTTTGTTCCCTCGTGAGGTAGGTTTGAACTGGCTCTGTGCACTCTTCTTGCGAAAGGTGCACATGGCAAGACAGAAAACCATGAGCAGAGAGGTTCAAGTTGTGAGGTTGTAGCCAGTGCCTATTCTGGTTCTTCCAGGGGAAGCAAGAAGCATTCTACTGATGAAAGCAGAAATAGCTCGCTGGAAACTGAACGAGGACACTCAAAAACCATAGACAACTTTGAAAGCCGCGATACTGCTCGTAACATTTTGGTAGAACTTGCAGACTCCATTGTGGACTCCTGTTCTGAAGTCTCCACATTTGATCAAGCCCAAACAACATATTGTGAATCTAATCCGGAGTCGGGGTATTATTGTAACACCAGAGGACCTTCGACCAGTAACACATTCTCTGCAGATGATAGTAATGTCCTGTGTTCTTATCTGAATATTCAAAACTGTACTGGAATGAGTGGGTCAGCGGGCAGTGGTTTGGCCGTGGAGGGACCGTCAGACGAAGATCCATGCTACCAATTAAATAGCAGTTGGCCTTCAGGAGATCAGATGCACTGTGTCTCTATAAACACTTCATGTAATGTGCTAATGTCGAATGAATGGGAAAAATGTAATATATCACCCCTGACATGGGGTGGCAGGACCGTGGGCAGAAGAGAGGTAAAAACTTCCCTAAACCAGCAATGTGGGATGAGCCAAGAAGATTATGATTCTTTCGTCAACATTTTTGAAGGGGGCTCACTTTTGTACTGCAACATGTCTTTTGAAGCACTCTTAAATGTGAGAAAGCATCTTGAAGAAATGGGCTTCCCTTGCAAAGCTGTGGATGATGGCTTATGGTTGCAGGTATATTTCCAGCTTCTTGCTAATAATATGAAGATCTGAATTGTCCAATTTACTTTTTATAACCGGGCTGAATTTGATATATAGGATCGTTGAAGTTACTTGGACTACTTTTGTTACAACCATTGCAAGAATAAACTTATTACCTACATTGACATGTTGCAACTATTTCAACTTCCTGTATATAGAACTTGTTAGGGTGCGCTTGGAAACCATTTAATTTTGGGATTATTTACATCTTGGGATCCTTTTTGAGATGGTTTAACAAAAGTTATTGTACTCACTCAGATTCCCTTGTTCCAATGTTCCTAGTAGATCAACTCATTTTCTCTTAGAAACAAATCATCAGATCACGAGTCACTTACACTTTCCCCAACTTCCACTACTTATCTACGCACATAACTCTTAACTGCCAATCATTATTTTACCATTTTTTACATCAAAACATCTTTGATTATTACATTATCATCTCTTATCAATTTACACTCTCAAAATTTTTCTTCTTTCAAAAAAATTCCGTCCCTATCCTCTTCCCAAGTGACACTTTTCAGGATGAAATGCTATCTAATCTCGCCCTTAAACTTTACTAGTTCTCTGATACCATTATATACTGGGACAGATCTCATTTACATATCTGATTTTCCGCTGTCCTCTGGATGTTACAGATGCTTTTAAGCCAGAGGGTTCAGGAAATTGGTGCAGCGACATGTAAAAATTGCTGCCGTGTTGGCATTGCATGCGCATGCAGACAGTCATTTGGATACTACATCCAAGATGAGCATAGTAATTTATCCCATAATGACATGGGGCATGTCTATATAAACAACTCTGCTCTGGGGGAAAGAAGTGGCCACTTTAGGCCTGTTCGCGTACACGACAGAGGCCCCATTGATGGCCTAGCTGGCATCGGACGTGGAACTACATTCGTACCTGCGTCCGCTTGGCCTCCGACTCGTTACGTCTTTTCTCGTGTCCCATTTGGTATAGGCAATCGAGGCAATCAACAGCCTCCTGCTAATGATGATCCTGATAACAGAGGCGACAACACTGGGGACATTGCTGGGGATGGCTTGACGGCTCTTGTTGGGCTCAGTCAGGGATCGAATGATGCCGCTGACTTGCACGAGTTGCAGATTGGAAGAGACTACGAGACTACGAGTTCTGGTGGTGGAATACCTGTTCAGATAATGAATTCGAACGGGGATGCTATGGGAATCGAGTGGGAGAATGAAAACAGAAAGATATCGTTGGATATGAAAACACCTTTGAGTCACTTTCCACCTTTTCGCTTCGCGTAAGCATTTTGGCTCACCTATCGTGATTTTTTTCTTTGAAACATTTTTGGCTGTGTTTGTTAAAGGAAAAACACAAACCAAATTAATTCTACTCAAAATCTAACTCAACTTTAACTCAACTCCACTATCCTCAATATTATCAATATAATTAAATAATAACAACCAATCATTTTTACACATCATATCAACTTTAATTCACTATTCATCCACTCACATAATTTTAACTAACCATCACTTCATATAATCTCTCTCCTACTTTTACATCACATCAGACCAATTTTAATTGTTTTATTTTAAATATTTTTTTAATATAAACTCAAAATCCAACTAACAACTAACTACACCACTTTTTCTAAATCAACCCTAGTTAACTCAAAAAAATCTACTTTGAGTTAATTCACTCAAATTATTCCTTTAACAAACACGCCCTTTGTCATTGTTGGGTTTTTTCCACTTTTATGTTAGGGGTGATAGTGGTGAAAAGTTTAACTACATTTATCTGCTAAGGTCGTCTGATTGGTTGTAATGCATAAATTTCATGCGAAAATGAAGGCCACGTACATTTTTTCCACTTCTGTTTGGGGGGTAAAATTTATGGACTTCAATGTAGAAAAACTTGTTTCTTCTATGGCTAAACTTAGTCTTTTTCTTTTTTTGGAAACTTATAAGTTGACTGTTCTTTTGTTTTCCGGAAACTTAAGTCACTGAACAATTCAGATGGACAAATTATATTGATTAGCGTCCTAATGTGGTGTGATACGTTTCTCGAATTTTGTGCTTTAGATAGTTTTGATCTGCTTCTATTGGTTTATCAGGGTTGAATTCCAGGAAGTGCTTACACTCTGTGATGGTCAAGTTAAACACTCACCTGAAGCATTTTATGCAGGGTCCTTGTGGAAGGTAGGTGTTGAACAAGAAAAGTAAATCATTTTTCATTTCTCGTTTTTAAATTCTGTGATGTTTGAAATGTTAGTCTATTTGTTAATCAACAACAAAATCAATCTATTTTGTTTCTGTTGGATATCATAGGTTAGTGTTCAGGCTTTTAGCGATGAAGATCCTCAAGGACGTCGCACACTCGGTAACTTTCTGAAATCCCTTTACCCCACAAGCTTTGTTCTGTATTTACTTAATTTCAACACATTAATTTCACTACAATCATACAGGTCTGTTCCTTCACCGACGGAAGGCAGAGATCAGCAACTCACTTAGAAAGGCAATTGGAATTACATTTATGCTGCTGCTCACCAACTTGAATTAATTTCAATTATCGTACCTTAATGTGAATGAAATGTAAAAGTTCACACTGAAATTTCTCCTCTTGTCCTCTCAGGTCCATATGTACGTGGACTCTAGGGAAAAGGTTACCGCCAGATACCAGGTGAGCTCACTAAGCGTGTATACTTGTTTCCGAAAGATATTGCACCATAATTCAAAAGTCCTTGATGCATCCTTGAATCGTTCATGCAATATATATGAATATTCAGTTGATATGTCCGTCAAAGAGAGAAGTTATGGTGTTCGGAAGCTATAAGCAGACGGGAACACTTTTACCAAAAGCTCCAAAGGGGTGGGGCTGGCGAACGGCCTTGTTATTTGATGAACTTGATGACCTTCTCCAAAATGGTGCCCTACGAGTAGCTGCTGTTGTGCAGCTTATCTAGTAACTTATTCAAGGTACCGTGTGATCTCCACCTACGGCATAAACACTGATTTTGTGCATTTTTAAGAAACTAAAAGTGGGGTTAAATTCAAACGAAAAACCATTGCTACATCAAGTGTAGTGCAATACTGTTTGGTTATTTTTCAAAACTTTAAAAGATAACTGGGTTTCTTTTGGTGGGTGATGCTATACAAACATAAAGGTTGACACACTCAAACATTATAAATACTTAGCATGACCTCATTAATTTACGCATCACATCATCTTTAAATTCAACTACTTTTTTCCATCTCTCACATGTCACTCATATGTCATATTTTTTATGCGAGGCTAGCATTTTTCTTTCTTTTGTAGTTGCACTAATCCTCATGGGTGGATTTTTGTGATAATCATACGTTGAAAGGGTTATGCTTTCTTATAACTGTATTTTCTTGGTTTCAGATGGAGTATAGTCGAACAATGGTTTGTGCTGCATTGAGTCAAACAGATAGTTTCAGTACTTTCCAAAGTCAAAGATTGTATTCACACATTGTCTGCAGTGCCTTATTTGTATCTGGATCTAGACTCATATTTTCGACTAAGCAAGATTTCAGGTGTTGTATATTCTGACTTCTGGTTTCTCTCGGTATGTGCAGCTGGTCCTGTTATGGTTTGACAGAATTATGCATGTACAATGATTTTCACGCCATACTATATAAATGCAAATATGTATTTGTCCTTGAGCTACTCATAATTTTTCTTGAGCAACTAGAATAAGTATTTTATTTATGGGTATTGTCTTTGCATAAATGAGTCTAGATTGGAAGGAATTGGCTCCGACTCTATCTCGCTCGTCTTTCCACACTGGTGCTGATTTTTGGGTCAGATGTGGTTTGATTGCCTTTTGTCAGATCTAAATACCCGTCTGAGTTTAAGTTGGAAAGTTTGGATGTGACAACTTTCAATCTGCACATTGATTTTTGTGGTAGGGATGTATGAGTAGCTTGTGGCTTACTTAGTGCTTGAGGTCTCTGTTTACTGTTGGTGTTGTCTGATTGTAATGGTCTTCGATGCAAAGAAAGCTTGCTTGGGCGGATGTGGCAGCAAATTATCTGAAGAGAATGTGTTATTTTGTATATTACTATGTCTTAGGCGAGTGTAAATTCTTTTTCTTATACCTGTCCTTGGCCATTTTTGTGGGACAGTTTCCAGTTGTCAAATTATGTACTCTCTTTTACTCTCTTTTTTACTCTATGACAAAAAAAAAAACTAACTATTAATTTCGTTTGCCATGAATTTGGTTTTTTTATTATGGAATTAATTAGTTCTTGAAAAACTCTTCTCTTGTGAATGTTGAGTACGTAGGGTTGCCCCATGTAGCATAAGTTACTCTCGATGTTTTGAGATGTCGGTGACTTTAAGTTAATATTTTTTTGAGGTTACCAATGTTAACAGTTAAATTCAAAAGTGTTTAATCAGTAAAATATTTTTGTGATTCTCAGGTCATATTCAACATGTCTATGAATCTGCTGTTTCTGATTCTAAAAGAAAATTAACTTACTAGTCCAAAATACATTGATTGGAAAAAGAACTTTGACATAGTGCTGACTGTTGAAGGGTACAAATATGTACTCACTGAGGTTTGTCCGGATGTTCCTGAACAGACAACGTGCTGCACCCGGCGACGCCCTGCTACGACTCGTGACCTCGCGACTCGACGTCTGCTGCTCCCGTGATGCCGTGTGACCCGCGACATCTCCGCCCCAACGATGTAGAACCGCAGAGAACTTACGTCTTGCACCCGCGAGATCCCCACGATCCGCTCTACGCCAAGCGACCCGAGACGCGCATCCCGGAACCGAATACGACCCACCTGCTCTCGTCCTCATGCAACGACCGACATAGCCCCGTGAAGGCACGTCTGGTTGCCCAACAGACTTTGTGATCAGACTATCTCTTCCAAACGTAATCTACAACGTCTCAGAGTCGACAAAAATAATAAATCATGAGTCTTATGCTCTTACATATAGATCCGATGCGCATAGGTATTTTTGTAGTTAAATTTGTAACTTAGACATTAGTGGCGATCCTTATAGATCCTAACACCCAGAGAAGGTTAGGGCAAGTGTTCAAGGCAAAATCCACCATGATTAAAGCTTTCGAGCTGGGTGGTCGCTTGTTTGAACGACCCTAGAGGAGGGTTGGACAAGTGTCCAAGGCAAAATCCACCGTGACTAAGGCTTTCGAGCTTGGTGGTCACTTGTTTGAACGACCCCAGAAGGGGGTTGAGAAAGTATTCAAGACAAAATCCACCATGATTAAGGCTTTCGAGCTGGGTGGTCACTTGTTTGAACGACCCCAGAGGAAGGTTCAACAAGTGTTTAAGGCAAAATCCACCATGATTAAGGCTTTCGAGCTGGGTGGTCGCTTGTTTGACTGACCAAGAGGAGGGTTGGACAAGTGTTAAAAGGCAAAATCCACCATGACTAAGGCTTTCGAGCTAGGTGGTCATTTGTTCGAAAAACCCAAAAACCCAAGAGGAGGCTTCTGAGCTAGTATTCAAGAAAAAATCCACCATGATTAAAGCTTTCGAGCTGGGTGGTCAGTTGTTTGAATGACCCTAGAAGAGAATTGGGCAAGTGTTCAAGGCAAAATCCACCATGATTAATGCTTTTTATCTGAGTGGTCGCTTGTTTGAACGAACTATTGATGGACGAATTCGATCAACGATTAAAATAAGATGTTAAGATTGTAAAAAGGTAAAATGGGAAAGTCGTACGACAAAAATAAAATTTACTAAGTAATTACGAGGTCGGCCTCTGTAAACGAGGTTGGCACTTTTGTTACACTTGGTATTTTTGCGGGAATTTATTACAAATTTCTGGAGAGAGAAAGTAAAGAGAAGGCAGTAGTTGAGATATTCAACAACTCAAAATAAATGAAGTGGGTCTTCTATTTATAGTATCCTTAAATTTGGTACTGTAGCCATACTGTTCACCCTGTCTTGTCGCATGATTCTTTAGGCCTGCATGCCGGCGCCGCTCTGACCGATATTTAATGTGATTTGAGGTTTCTTCAATCATTACCTGCAGAGCATTTAATGGATTGAAGGGGAGCATTAAGTGCTGTCAAATCGTCCTGTCGGATTGGACATGCTAAGTTAGTAGGCTGAGGTGACGTGTCCCATCAGCAATCATGAACTGACAAGTGGCATTATTATATTCGGTTTCCAGTCTAGCACTCCTCTAGGAGACGGCTTCATAGGATCTTCAGGTCGGCACTTTCCAACAAATCGATCCTCTGGTCATCCAACACACCGCGGAGCCGACATCAGCTTTCAGTTATTCAGGTGTCGGTCTGGAAAATGAACCTACCCGTCCCCCCTGTTGGTTTGGTCGTTCTCCCAGCTCGGCACTTTATTGGAGAGACCGTCTCGGGTCTCAAGATCAACCCTCCCCGGTTCCTCGCTTCCTGAACCGGGAATTCTGCTTTGAACCAACTTGGGTATCAATATACAGGCCCCCGAGCTTGGAGGGGAGGTCGTCGACACCCCGTATGAGGCTGTCTTTTATGAGACACAATCTGAGTTGATTATTCACGAGGTCGGCCCTCATGCGATACTTGGCGATTTTCGAGAGGTTCCTTGGTGTACTAATGACGTAAGCCGAAGGGATGGGCAATTAATGGGACGTCATCATTGTGCTTCATTGTCGGTTACGAAAAGTTGTGCCATCCCATTTTGTGGACACGTGGCGTGTTCCCAGCCGTTCGATTTCGGAACATTACAGCCGCCTGTCATACTGTTGCATTTTTTAATTTTGAATTTCAAGGGGGGCAGTCCACGTGTCATGTCTTCATTGGCTAGGCTCATCTATATATTTCTCTCTTAGTGCATTTTTCTAAGGTTTTCACCTCTTGCGATTATGAGAAAGCAGATTTTCGAGCAGAGAACTTTGGAGCGATTCATGGAGCTTGTTCGACACCTTTACACGGGTAATTTTGCTTTTCCCACTTTTGATTTTTTCTGTTATTTTCTTCTTCGAACATATCTACTTTCCCGACATCACTGATTTTGGTCTCGAGCGATGGCAACGCTGGCTCCGCCGGTGAGTTTGCGGCGAACTACGGCAGGATAGTGGTCTATCCTCGGGCCGCAGCGGCGGACGAGCCTCTCCGGGTCACGCCGATTTCGGCGGTGAGGATGGCCTCATCGGGAACGAACCCCGTTTTCGACCATGGCGAGGAAGTTCCCGACCCCGATCTGGTGAGAAAGAGGGCAATGGCTCCAATGCCGATATCCGAGATGGCTCCGACGTCGATCTCGGTCTCATGGATGAGACCCTCTTGGCCTTGGTGATAAAGAATTTGACCACGACCTTCCTTGGGTTTTGGCACTGTCTCATTCAAATTTGGGCCGACCCGAGCGACAAGACGGCCTGGATAACACCGTCGATCCTCAGGGACGTCGACCTGGCACATTTAAGGAAGATGGCCAGCTTTGGTCCCGTGGTTCGGATATTCGCACCCTATCCCGGGGAACGGATTCACTGCTCGCCGTCAGGCTCCATTGGCGTGTATCGTCACAGTGTGCGAATGGGTCTGCACTTCTCCCTGCCCGGAGTGTATCACAAAGTTGCCTGACACCCTGCACGGTTATATGTGCCAGTGGTTTTGGGTTGGAGGTGAATGACAGACGCAGGATTCAGCCCGACACCCACCCACTAATTTCCTGACCGACTCGAGTAAGGTTTACAAATTTTTCATTTTACTAATTTGGATTATTTTCTTGTGCTAACAGGTTGGTGTTTCCGTTTTCAGTCCACAAACACAAACAACAAGATCAATGCCGAGCTGGTAGAGAAAGTCGTTACCTTGTTGGGCCGACCCCTCGCAGACCGTGACTATAACGAGCTTGTAAAAGAGGAGACCCTACTAAACTACGGACTTAGTCCCGTGCTCGACAACACCTTCTTCATTCCAGGTATCTACTCATTGTTTTGTTCATTATTTTCATTTTCAGTTACCTCGGCGCCGCCGTCGTACTTTGTTATTGTTAACCTTTGTCCTCCCGTCGACAGTTTACTACCCCATCTTCCATTTTCAAGAATTCAACTCGGCGAAATCAGCCAACAAGTATGCACGCACTTCCGAACCCGTTAAAAGCTCGAAATAAAAAATGGCGAGCCGAATGAAGTTGTTGATGGATAAGGCTAAAAAGGCGAAGGCCTCGAGCACGGCATCTACCGAGAATGTTGGGGGTGCTTCCCCTCTAACTCCCGACGGCGCTATGGGTGGCCGAACTGTCTCCCGAGGGGGCCGTACTGATGGTCGTGGAGCGGGGACTTCCACGGATGGCGACCATCAAAGGGCCGACGCCCCGACTCGCATGACAAGGCGTCGGTCTCGCGAGGAGGCGGAGAACGTAGGGGACACGAGTGACAGACCGTCCCCCAACCCGAACATGATGGCAGTGCTCTCGCCCCCGGTTCTCCTAAGAGAAGAAGGGTCGAGGAGGGGGGTGAGGATGAGACCGGGGAGGACGAGAGTGTCGAGGGTCTCAACATGGAGTGGTTGGCCCCCGTTCATCAAGACAAGGTCACGACCTTCCTCCCTATCGACCCGAAGAGAAAGGTGCACTTCTTTAAGGAGTTCCCGATGTTCCCAGACAAGTGGTACCTGGATTCTAAGTCCACGGTGCCGATCAACATCTCCAATCCTTACCATCTGCTGGAGCAGGTGATGGAGGTAGCCCGGGCCCCCATGGCCTCTTGAACTCCGACGGATGAGGCCGCTGTCTCGATGCTGAGCCCGACACAGCTCATCCAACATGCGATGGGGACGATGCCGCATGCCATGGTCGAGCTCGTGCATGCCTTGGAGCAGACGCAAAAGGAAAGCGCCGAATAACGAAAAATGAAAGAGGCCCATGGCGGTTGCGAGGGGCGTATTCACTCCCTGAGCGACCAGGTGGCCAAGATGTCCCTGTTGGAAAATGAGCTCGTCATCCAGCGGGGTGAGGTTGTGAAGGCGAGGAAGGAGGCGAATGAGGCCCTGGAACGCGTGAAGTGGCTCAAGCAGATGGACATCTGGGAGAAAGAGCTGAGGGCCGAGCTGGCCAAGAAGGAGGAGCAGAGGGAAGTCGAGCTCGCTGACGTTGACAAGAGGCACATGTCCGAGCTCGAGAATGTCTGCTCGAAGTACGAGGAGCGTATGGCCCGGCTCGAGGCCCGTGCCAACAAAATGGAGGC